CTGCCGGCTCGACCCCACGATAGCCTCCGAAGGCTGACTTTGAGGCACCATCATCGGACGATGTCGACGAGTTGGGTCGCTCTCGCGGTAGCCAGATGACCTCTCATACTAGGATCATCGGCCATGGCCGCAGGGAGCGCGGGGGAGGGCGCTGGATGCAACACGGAGCTCCGTTGGAGACGTTTTCAAGATTAGCGTGTGTCAGAGAGTGAAATGGCACTAGCCAGTGCAAGGCCCAGTGCGCGTGGGTGAGCGATGTGTGTGTGTGTGTGTGTGTGTGTGTGTGTGTGTGTGTGTGTGTGTGTGTGTGTGTGTGTGTGTGTGTGTGTGTGTGTGTGTGTGTGTGTGTGTGTCACACGCGTAATTGGACTCTGGAGATGACAGAATCAGAAACTACAGTCTCGCACAATAAAAACGCTAAAACGGCGCTAGCGGCTCGGGCCCCTAGAGGCCTGCGCAGACGAGTTCTCGCGATGATACGCGATCAGGTACTCTGGGCAGATGTAGTCGCTCGCGTGGAAGATGACAAACTCGCGGTACCGGTCGTGGCCCGGCCCCTTCTCCGCGATGAGCGAGTGGTAGTGCATCGGCGGCGCCAAGTTGGGCACGGGGGCAAGCTCGCGCACGTTCACGGGGAAGACGCGCTCGTTCGGATCGTCGCAAGACCTCGCCAGCGCTCCCGCGTCCTTGGTCCGGATCGGGTGGCCGAGCGCGACGCGGCACACGAGCGCATAGTGCAAGGCGGTGCCCGGGTGGCGGTACGACCGGCCGTAGAGCCGCTGGTGAAGGTCGCTCGCCGGGTCATAGTTGGCGTCGGCGTCGACGTACTGGTCCGCCTTGCCAAGATCCTCCGCTAGGTATGCGCCATTCCCAAACGCGGCGCCCGCGTGCGTGCCGCTGAAGCGCTCGTTGAGGCCGTTAGCGAGTACGGTGAGCAGCGAGCTCCGTGGGATGCCGTGCAGCAGCAGCACCTCGTTCAGCTCGGTGCGCAGCTGCAGCTTGCCCTGCGCCTCGAGCGCCGCCGCCGTGCTCGAGGTCATCATGTCGCGCCACACCTCGCGCGCGACACCTCCCTTGCGCTTCAGGCAGTCGAGCTCGTCCGACATGCAGCGCGTGCCGCCCTCGACGCGCGCGCTCCGGCGCGGATTCTCTATGCG